ACTTAAGCAGGCGGCGAGCACCTTGAATACGTAGGAACTAGGCAAAGTGAATTGTCTCTTGTTTGTTTGTTTATTGTTGAGTGCCAACGGGGTTATCAGTGCGATCCAGAACATGAGGAACTGTGGCCCTTCCCTGTCCCCCCAAAAAAGAGTTTACATTCCAAATGAGCGAAAACATGCCTTTAGAAATAAGTTATTTTTTTTGTAATAATGTGTGGGGTTGGTAAGTAAGCGACATCAAAGTAATGAAGATCAAATGTAATTATTCCTAAAGGCCCTGTAGTGGCATAACGTGGGTTACGAATTCATTAAATGTCATAAAATCTAATGGAGTTGTTCCGAAAGGCCTCGGATCAGATGTAGGATACCACCGAGACTCGAAGCAAATGGATGCAGAGATAAAAATTGTGGGAGCAACTCCAGAAACGAAAACAAAACAAAGAAAACCATGACTTTTCACTTTCATGGGATCATAGAATTGCAGAGTTGGAACCCAACCCCCTCCTTATCTCTGCCCTTGATAGCACTGCTAACTTAACACATCCCCCTCCCCAATTATATTTTTATATGATTGCTCTCATTTTTCTTATAAATGTATGTACTCTGTGTCTCATATTTAAGCATTCCAGTTTGTATAATGTTTGCAAATAACTTTGATATGATTATGTGACACAACACATTTATGCAATCTGCAGGTAAAATCGAATGTGTGCAATTTTGAAAGCAAAACTTGCTCTAGAAATTGGTTGATTTCTAGGACTTATGGCAAAGCTCCCACAGGCTCGTTGAAGCTATAAGAAAACACACTGGTGATTTTATTTGGCTGTTCTTTTTTTTTTGGTCGTGGTTTATATTGTGGGCTTATTGTTTCTCTCTGTTATTTCCGATTATGATTTGATGCTGTACGATTCAGGGTTTTTATACGAGGTACGTTCCGTCTCTTGCACTTGTCCGTTGATGATCTTTACTCGCGGAAGCCGTCACCTTAGGGAGTTGCACAGCTTGGTAAATAATCGTAATGATATTTATTGTTTCTGTAGCGCTTAGAAAGCAAGCACTGTTTAAAAATAAATCTGGGGACAATGTTTCTTAGAAAACTGGCAAAATGTTATTTATCATTCCAGAAACACTGCTTTAATAATTCTTCATCAGTATCTTGCTCTGTACTTTACATTGAGCCAGTTGAAAGAAAATGGGGAAATGTAGAAGATGTCTTCTGCAGAGTGGGAATTCTGGAATGCTGTCTGAATTCATGTTTCAGGAGAGGAATTAGGTTTGAAAGGCCTTGTTCATCATACTGTTAAACTTGAGAGAATCAGAAAGTGAGGAACCTTCCTGCCCTGCACCTATTAAGTGAATGACAGGACAAAGAAAACAGTTAGCCCCCATTTGTTAATCTCCTGCAAAGCACTTGTACAGCCAGATCCTATGCATGTTTACTCAGAAATAAGCAACGCTGAGCTCAGTGGGGTTTACTTTCCAGGTAAATGTGCAGATTATGGATTGCAGCCTTAATCTGCAAGGTGTTTTGTGATCATTAATTGTTCTATAGCACTTTTACCCAATTAGGTTATGATATCATTTCTCTCCGTGACCCACCCACCTACTGACCACGGTTGCCAGCTCCCGTCCTGGAGACCGCGATGGTTGCTTTAATGACTCCAGCTCGGTAAAACAGCATTTGGGAAGGGTACCTCCACCCCAACTTGTCCGGTTACTTGTATTTTGCTCCAGATGCAAGCAGGACTCTGATTTTGCCTTAGACTAGAGCATGTAGGGGAATTAGTTGAGTGGAGGCCTGAACACTGAGATGTATGCAAGTCCCTGCTCCTAATCACTGTCTGTCTCTGTAGCAAGGAACCTGTTTCTCTCTGGATGGAATTGGGCTCTCAGCTGCCACTGGCCTCACGCAGCATAGCTACTGGCAATGAATGCTGTGAGTTGGAATCCCACAACATCTGGAGGGCCATAGGTTTCACATCTGTACTCTGCATATTACAGACATGGCCTCCACAATTGCCCCAGCAGTGGGACGTTTTAGGGGTGGCACTGCCAGGTTTGGATGGGAGAGCATTGGGGAGTTAAGAACTTTCAAGTATATAAAGCAGAGACTCAGTAGGAGCAAGGAAGCAGTCCTACTTGGCTGCACCAGGGAGCAATGTGGGCAACTTCCACCCCCACCCAAGACTGCACTGGCACTTCCAGACAACTCTAGCTAGACATTTTTCATGTCCATCTCTCTCTGCTCTGTGTCTTCAATGCACATAGTCGTTCATCTGCCTCCTCCCTTTAGCTGGAGAAATGTCATATTCTAAAAACTCTGATGGGTATCTCATACAAATCCACAGAGGGAATTCTTTGCCTATCGGGACAGTGTGTTCTAACTATTAGCTCTCTTTGATGGAATGTGGGAAATATAATTCTGGGCTTTCATTAAAGAGCTTTCCGCCCAACAAAAGACAGGTCAGGCAGCACTGCTGCCACCACTCCCTATCACTTTGCCGCTACTTCCTTGCAAGGTTCCTTGCATTGCACATGACATTGTTGCTCTTGGACACTGCCCAGCCCTGTATATCCAAGACTCAGTGACGTGAGCCAGGAATGGAGTGAAGCAATTCACAGGGTCACACATTGCATCATTATGAGGAAGGGGTGGAAAGTGACCAAGAGTAATGATGGTCAACTCTGAGTCTCTCATGTTGTCTATTTGAGTTGATGTCTAACTTGGAGCAGTTGAAGCAACCACCACGATATCTGGGTCAGGAGATGGCTACCCTGCTCATAACATACCAAATATTGATATATATAGAGAGAGAGAAATCTATGCACTAGCCAATGCTGGCTTTTAAGCCGTATTTCATTCATCTTCAGTACACCAGGTGAAGTTGGTGGCATTTTTGTAAGCTGAGAGTGTGATCTGAAAGCATATGATGCAGTTCTACTGCTGAAGCTAAACAGGTCTGGTCATGGAAGCTACCTGGATGGGAGATAACCACTTGTAGGACACTCTGAGCTTTGGATGAAGAGCAGTGCATAATTATTATTTTTAAAGCAAGCACTTTTTAATCTCCTTTCTACCTTTCCTGCCCCGACCTGGCCACAGTGATCCATGCGACGGTCATCTCCAGGCTTGACTACTGTAATTCGCTCTACGCGGGGCTGCCCTTGAAGCTGTCCCAGAAACTCCAGCGGGTACAGAATGCTGCAGCGAGGCTCCTCACAGGGTCTCTGCCATGGGAGCATATTCACCCAGTGCTTTTCAAGCTGCACTGGCTCCCGGTGGAGTACAGGGTCAGATTTAAGGTGCTGCTTTTGACCTTTAAAGCCCTTCACGGCCTAGGACCCTCGTACCTACAGGACCGCCTCTCCTGGTATGCCCCACGGAGAGCCTCAAGGTCCATAAATAACAACACCCTAGTGGTCCCAGGCCCTAAGGAAGTTAGATTGGCTTCAACCAGAGCCAGGGCCTTTTCAACTCTGGCTCCAGCCTGGTGGAACGCTCTGCCTCATGAGACCAGGGCCCTGCAGGATCTGATTTCTTTCCGCAGGGCCTGTAAGACAGAGTTGTTCCGCCTGGCCTTTGGCTTGGAGCCAATTTGATTCCCTCCCTCCCTCTCTTTCTTTTTCTTTTCCTTCTCCTCCTGCGATGAGGCTACATTTTAATATTTTAATGTTCCATTATTTTAATGTTGTATTTTATTTTTGTTTTTAAGTTGTAATCATTCATCTTGTTTTTATTATTGCTTGTAAGCCACTCTGAGCCCGGCCTTGGCTGGGGAGGGCGGGGTATAAATAAAATATTATTATTATTATTATTATTATTATTATTACCAGTGATGGTTGAGAGATAGTCATTCACCTAAAGCTATCATTCATTTCTAGCTGAGCAAAAATTTGAACCTAGTTTCAAGGGATCCCAAGGATGAACTATGCACTAGTCCAGCCAAGATGTGGACAATTGCTTAAGGCTGTGTCTATAGCAGTCCCAGCTGAAGCCAATGGTGTCTTTGATGGGCAGAAATGAATAAATCTTTGTTAAGGATGTCATGGAATTTTGGATAGCACAGAGGCTGAAGACTAAACAGTAGCAGTTCAGCCTCTTAAATGTAGCCCTAGGTTATAGTCTACATCTCCACCTAGGTACCAAAATGCCCCATGAGTTTAATTTATTGGGTTAATACGCCTGCCTCCTGGTGTGTGCACCATGTATGTTCTCAAATGAACACATGGATCTCTTGCATGCACAGAGGTCTCAATATATCCCCTTTAAATGAAGCTGTCTTTCACATAAAGGCATGTGAACTCAGATCAACTCCCTTTATTGAAATGAATGGAGACCCCATTCTGGCCTGGATAACTTCATGCATGCATGAAGACGTGGTGGTGACTCCTAACTCCCACCTTATTGAATCTAAAGTGGGCACACCACTTTAGAATCCCAGATAGCATATGAAGACAATTCACCTCAACTGAGATGAGCTCTGTACTATGTAAGGATATGTGCAGTATCTTCTTCTGCACTATGTAAGGATGATGGGGACGGTGTCAGACAGGGCGCAGCTGCACACAGGATAGGCAACCAGCCACAAGTGATCTGCATCCACATTGGGTGTGTGTGTGGTTAGGATGCTTTATCTGCATGTAGTGTTGGGATGGGGAACCTTTGGACCTCCTGAAGTTGCTGGACTCCAACTCCCATCAGGATGGCTGGTGATCAGAGACAATGGACGTTGGAGTCCAACATCTGGAGGACCACAGGCTTCCCACTCCCAGTGTAGTTAGTGGCTTTTACTGCCAAGGTACATCAATGGAGGAAAACACCTGGAATTGCCCTCCCCATCTATATTCAAATCCTTCACAGGTTTTTATGTGGGACAGCAGCCAAGGATCCCATTGGGAGCCTAAGGCGGTTCCTGGACCACAGCACATATCTCAAGAAGGAAATGTTGGGCCAGGGAGAGGGGGGGGAAAGAGAATTTAACAACAACGGGGATGCAATTGAACTGCCTTCAGAAGTCTGTATATTTTGTCTTTCCAAAGTCTGTCAGGAACCATTTTCTAAAAAGCAAAAACAAATGTATTTTTCTTAATATATATATAGAATATTTACAATATATCGTATAAAAATATTTAATCATTCAGAAAAGTTAAAGCTGTAGAAGTAAAGAATTTTGACTCCCCTAAGAAAGATTCAGACTGAGAAAAAGGAAAGCTCTGGTGTATCTTACTGGTATAGGGAAGGTGTGGGGACAAAGAAAGAAAATAAAGTTGTACAGGTTGGCATTATCCTTCTCCACCACATAATACTCAATCTAAGGTTCAAACTCGGATATGCCCTTACATGTATGTATGTGTATGCCTTTAATTGTCACAAAATGGCTTTCTCCAGTAGAGAACTTAAGCAGAACGATGGGAGGTTTGGGGAGGAAGAGAAGTGGTTGTTTTGTTCCCTTTTTCGGAGTGGTAATGGAAAGCAGGGACCCTCTCCACCGTGGAAGGCAAAGAGGCACTTTCTCAGTATGGGACCTACTGTGAAAAGCCATTTGAGAGTTCACAACCTCTTCCTGCAAGATCTTTTGCTAACCTGCCCCTTTGGGTGTACTGAAACAGGCTAGGCATGGTGGTGAAAGCAAGAGGCACGTAATATCGAACACCCTTCTCTTTGTCTCTTTAAAGGAGAGGTCTTCCTCCATTCCATTCCCTTGGTGTTCTTCTGCTCATTGTATCTTATGTTCAAATTCTCCCGAGTCCTGGTTTAACTAGGATAATTTTTCAAATTCTAGGATTGGAGGATGAGCAGTTTTGCTTCAGCTTTGGCAACCTTTATTTTGTTCTCTTTCCCCTACCCATCCCGCTCCTTTCCATTACCAATGTTCACACGGTGCTTTCAGGGCTGGCCCTATCATTAGAAAGAGTGAGGCTGTTGCCTCAGGTGGCTGATTTGGGGTGTCGCAAATGGTTGGCTATGTAATTTATTGTTGTAGTTTCACTGCCAGGAAGCAGGAGAGGCACTTGTGGGATTTTCTGCCTCAGGTACCACAAAAGTTTGGCCAGCCTTGGATACACTTTGACCGTGTGTGTGTTTGTTTGTATGTATGTATGTGTCTCTCTCTGTGTGTGCATTTGCTGCTCTGCCTCAAACAGCAAAAGTTATTGGGGCCATCGCAGTGTGTGCTGATAAAAAGCTGCAAAGTGGGTGGGTGAAAATATCTTGATTATATATATATAATTGTATCAAGTTTTCTTTGGGGCCATGTAATGTATACATGTGTTTCTCCTCCGTAGGAAAAAATAATAATCACACACACAAAATGTTTGGCTCATCTGTATCTGCTAGTGTTGCCAGGTCAGGAGATCCCAGACCCTAAGATTTCAGGGCCCAAAGCAGCCCCCAGTGATATCATTAAGCATGATGGGTTAACTATTAACTTCAGTCACTCAATTAAAAAAAACATGAAACCTAACAAATGAGTTGGGACACTAGTTGGGTCACTAGCTGAAACCTTAGCTAAAGAGGGTTGTTCCTGTGTTTGTTGTGAACTGCTCTTGTCAACAGCCAGTGTTTATGCTGCAGTTGCCCCCCACTTATATATGCATTTAATTTTCTTTCCAGTCTTCTTTAAAAAACTAACTAAAGGTGTTTTTGCTCACCTGAATATTCAAACCCTCCACCTGCCACCTGGGGGGTGGCGAGTAGGCAAACCAGGAGACTCCAACTTAGCCCTGGGGGTCTAGCAACTCTAATCTGTGCACGATTACATAAAGTTTGCTTTTCTGGTGGCACAAAAGTAAAAACACACATTGGCAACTCCAGAGGAAAAAAAGAATCTTGATGCAGGCCCTCATCAAGACTGGGAGGAAGTCCTAGCGTATTCAAGTGTGGCCTGCTTCTGAGAATACAAATATAGGATTACACTATTAATTGCTAACTTCACTTGGATTCAACCAGCTATTCAGAGGTTGGTTCAAAGCCTGAAATCCAACCTCAGCCCAGTCTCCTGACCTGTCAATGAAGAATGGCGATTCAAAAAGATGGAGCACATGGAGCCTGCTTCCAGATAATTTGGGGGAAATGACGTTCTTTGTGGGAACAGTCTTTTGTCTAAATGTCTGCCAAAATTGATATAATTTCTGTGCTTGGAACTGACGATAGGGAACCACTCTGAAACCACCCACTAACTTTAGATGTCTGCAGGAAGCTCAGCATATTGGCATTTAACCCCTTGAAATGAAATCGGGCAAACTTTTCAGCGGTTTCAGCTTGGTCTAGCTACACTAAGATGAGTCTAGGCACGCTCATTCACAGTAGCCAAGGCTTAGGCCTTGACATGTGTATTTGTTTTCTGACACCTTGAATGTTCCTTGTGTCACTTTAAACAAAATGTTTCATAGGCTCACTCAAGCCGTGTACTGTACTGTAAGCCTGTTTAGAAACTGAGATCCGTTTGTAAATTGAAGTACTATTTCCCACGCTCATGCGGTTATGAACATTTGTGATGCAACTGTTAGTACTTACAGTTTCTTCAGCACCTTAGAGAACAAAGGAAAAACCAAACGTTACTGGACTTATTAATATTGTACAACATTATGAACCTGTTAGAGGTATTGCTATATCCTGACAAACCCGAGTTAGCCTAATTGATGTTCCATGTTTCATACATTCTTCTCCACCAGCATCTATTAGCTCGTCCCTATTCTGGAGTTCCATTGATGTCCCTCTGCCAAGAGAAATGCAACTCTAGAGTCACAGTGTTTTTAGCAGATCTGTGTAGAAGGCAGGTCATAATTTGCTTATGCTCACAAACATTTGCTACGTTGTCTTTTTCAAAATGCATGAGCAGGCTGCATCTCTCCTTTGTTTTGAAGACATGGTTTATAAAAAACGTAATAGATTTATACCAAACCATATTAGACCTGTATATTTTATGCAAGAAGTACATGCTTTAAAAATATTTTTAAAAAGTTATTTACCCATTGTCAGCTTTGGTGGCATTATGGATCTGAAAAAAACAGATAATGATTTTATATTTGCTGCACTCCTTAGGTTATTGCATGCATATGATGACAGGTAGGCCTGAGAAAACACTGCCTTTTGACTTTGAACATTTTAGCTACTAACCAGAGTTGTAGAATAAATGAAGCTGTATGTCTGTTTACTTTAGTCTGTGGTTCTTTAAGGGGAAAAAAAAAAACATTATCTGGCAACCAACAGCATCCACCATGAACTGTTTGATAGATTTATGTTGTAATGTATCGCAGCATGTAAATAATATAACTTCTCTGCAATAAAACACATTTATATGAAAAAATGTGATAACCTTTTTGTGTTGCCATTATGAAAGGAGTTGCTTTCTGTAGGTGAACAACTGAACTTCTAAAAAAAACCTCTCCCACCTCCCAGTGGCAGACCTACATTTTGGAGCCCCTGAAGCTTGAACTGTTATGGGGCTCTTGTCCTAGTTCTTTCTTTCCTGAGGGATTGTGGGGTGCATTTGTTGTTTTTTGGTGGTGCATGGGTGTCCTCCCTAGATGAGCTGTTACCTGTATGGTATGGTAATGCAATATTATGCTACTGCACCTAAGAGATTGTACACATTGAGCTCCTTTAGATGACCTTTTTATTGAACATTTACCCTGTTTTGCTTGAACAAAGCCTAAGCACAGTGTCAGGGAACTGCCATTGGCTCAGGGGCGAGAGGGGGAAAGCCGGATGGATTACAGAGAGCCCCCAAAGATCGTTGGAAGCAGCACCTCCTCAGCGGAGGAGAGTAACCACGCCTCCAGTGGAGAGGAGCTGCAGGGCTCGGGGGAGGCGAGGCGGTGCCAGGACACCTTGCCTGAGCAAAGCAGGGAGAGAGAGGTCCTCCATTAGCCACACCCTCCTTGCGCAGTAGGCTTCTGCGCAGAGAGAGGAAGCGCAGACTGGGCATCAAGAAACTACTCTGCTGGGGAAGGTTTAAGGACCGCCCACTCTCAGATTCTGCCCCTGAATGAGCGAGCCACGGAATAGTGGCACTCTGCATGGCGAAGGTTTTTTTGGCACCAATAACAAGGCTTTATAGCTGACCAGGGAGGCATTTGCCTGATTGCTCTTGAGCAACCCCCTGACACCCTTACACACAAGTTTGATTATATCTAGACCTTATTAAGCATTTGTTCTGATTTGTTTGCAGGAAGGTTGTAAAACAACGTTTAACCAGTCTTGCTTGCGAGATGTTTATACATCTTCTCACCAGTTGTTTATTCATTCCATACTTTTCAGCGCACTTTCCCTGTCACTTTCCCAACAGCAAACACTCAATTTCTCTAGAGCGACAGAGAGTGCTTCCAGACTGTTGCTGTTTTCGGGTGGGGTTCAGTCACATACTGGCAAATTCAGGTTGCCCAATTATAGCTGATTGAAAAGTCTTGTGCAGCAAAGCCCCTTTCCCAGAAGATTGGACTTTTTGTGATAAGGAAAGTGAGGGTACAAATGCAGGGGTTAACACTTGCATTGACACAAAGTCATCTGACCTGTGAACAAATCTGAATAAATACTCGTTAAACAATCAACATCTAATCTCCTTGCAAACAAATCAGAATGAATGCTTAATGAACAGGTAACCTAGAAGCACTCAATAGTACTTTCATTAACTTTAATTCAGCCAACCTAAATTTCCTGGAATGTTCTTGATTCCCTCCCACAAAATACTGACAACAATATTTGCCAATAACAGCAATCTTTCAGTCATTACCAAAGAATGGAGAGGTTTTCCTTTGCAAAATTTCCTTTGCTTGTCGAAATTGGACAAGGCACACAAAAAACCCCTGCCTGTTGTTTCCCAAAAAGAACACTGTGATTTCCTTTGTGTGCTTTTGTAGCTCGCTGATTACATAATGCCCTTCCCTCATCCAGAATCCTTCAAATACCACGCAAATGTCATTGGGATATCTTTGGGTATTTGGCCCTGCAGGGTTTGTGAATGAAAGTGTTGCGACTGTTTAATTTTAGCATCTTTCATTCCTGCTGGAAATGAAAAGGAGCCGAATGCAAGCCAAACATTGCCAGACCCTGTTCCTCTTTCCCCCCTATTCTTTTAAGAAAATGCTTTAGAAGAAGAAAAAAACAGTCACACACCCCAGCTGGGCAAATAGCAATTATATAAGAAACTATCTCCTAATGGTGGAAATCAGTGTTCTGTAATTGGAAAGAAAAGTGTGATCGCTTGTGAGTGCAATTCTTTTCCATTTGCTGCAAGCTGGCCTGGTATGTACTGCTGTCCCCTGTATTCCACTTGCTGCTGAACTGAAGCCCCATCTGGTTCTTATTTATTATTTATTTACATATTTATAGGCCATACTTTTCATAAAGAGACAGCAAGGTGCTATACAAAATGGAAAGTTATAGTAGCTGGGATAAAAATACCAGTGAAAGCATCGGTAAAAACATAAAATCTGGGGGGTTTTTGAGGGGGGGGAACCTCACGTTTCAAAAGTCTTTCTGAATAGCAGAGTTTTCAAAAGATGTCTAAAAGTAGGCAGGGATGACTTCTGCTTAGCTTCCAGTAGAGGGAGTTCCACAGGGGTGGGGCAGGCCCTGGGTCTCTAGTTAAGGCCAACCAAACCCCAGGGGCATTGGGAGGCATCAGCAGTGCCCCACCAGATGATTTCAGTGATCAAAGTGGAGCATAAGGAATCAGGTGGTCCTTAAGGCATTTGGAGTCCAGGTTCTTCAGGGCTTTGTGAATGAACACAAGAAACTTGAACCTGGCATGGCAACTAACTGGCAACCACTGCAGCTCTCTCAACAGGGGTGTAATGTGTTACCAGAAGCCTGTTCCTGTGAGCAGTCTGTGAAGTATAGGTGGCTTCCCACGAGGAAAGACACAGTGATAACAGCAAGAAGCTTTATTGAACTAACAGAACTGGACAGCAGGGGCAAAGCAACTGCTTATATATATTTCTGAAGGCCTGGGCTACTCCCACTCCAAACGTGATTGGCTGTCTGAACTTCCAAGCTGCGAATCATGACTCAGAGTTTAAGGGCCAATGGCAGAGGCCCAAATCCTGAAATGTTTTGTGATTGGATATCATGTATTGAATCAGAACAAAGGAGCTCAGAATCCTTAGTCCAGGCTCAAACTCAGGCAAACACAGACCACTGAATACATAACAGTCTGGCCCCTGCATTCTGCGCTAGCTGCAGCTTCTGGATCAGAATAAAGGACATTACAATGAATGGAGCACTTAAGGATGCTTTAGGCTACCATATATCTGGATCTGAATTGTGACTGGGTGAGTGAAAATGTGGGTGCTTCCAGGTGTTTGTTTTGGAACCAGTGCTCCTATGCCTACAAGGTTGGTTTTTGCAACATACACACAACATAGTTATTGTCAAATAGCCCATATATCTTTTCCCCTTCCCAATTTAATCCTGCTTAACTTTTCCTTGGGGAAATCCAAAAAGGCAAACAACAATAAAAACTGTTGCCCACAAACTGTTTGTGATCTCTCAATGACCTGTTTACAATCTTAAGCCCCCATCTGGCTGGCAACAGTTGGGAGGTAATGTTTCTGCCTTAATAAACTATGGTTTGTTAGCCAATAACTCTGGTTTATAAAGCTGGGGAATGACTGGCAGACAGACACACCTCATTTCCTCCAATCACGTGCCCTCTGCAGGAAGGAGAAATCATCTCCCCCGCTTTCTCCAGTGTGGTGGGTTGTGGGCATCTGGTTGGCCATTACGAGATAGAAGAATGCTGGACTAGATGGGCCTTTGGCCTGATTCAACTGGTTTTTAAGTTCTTACATGGTTCTGGATTTCATGAGTAGAACTGGACTCATAGCATCTCTGGAGCCAAACAAGTATGGACATGCATTGAAGAACTTTGCTGCTACTTGGAATGCTGCGGAGGGAAAGAATATTTGTAAGGGTTGCCATATTTCAAAAAGTAAAGGACACCCCGAAAGTTGTTGGATAAAGTGTCACCTTCCTTCTGGAAATTCCCCCAGATGTCAATTCTGCCTTTGACGTAATGCAGCCCTAATATTTCCAGTGAAGTATCACTTCATCATATCTAATATCATCTAAAATGAAAGCTGTCAATCCATTGCACTTTGTACCATATGATAGCAAAAGGGTCAAAGTCAGCTTGTCTCCAGGTTCCAAATTGATGTTTATAAGACAAATCCTCTATGCAAGACTGCAGATTCTGCCCCCTCCCCCAGAACAGAGTTAAGGAGAGAGAGAATCCACTGTAAATTCCCCAGAACATGAAAAGACTGGCTATTAATTATGCAGAAGACAGTTAAATTCATTCTCCTGGTGCTAAAAATAAAGCAAAAGTGTAAAAATGGGTTTGTGCTGCTTGCTAGCATGCCAAGCTTTCTGCAGGTCACTGTAAAATAATCAAAATGTAAGGAACTGCCATTGTATTCAGATTCCCAGCAGCTTTATAAGTGACAGCAACCCCACAAAGTATGCTTTGTTTGGTTAATACAATAAGGGTTTTCTCTCTGTTGCTTTGCATCTGCAAGTGTGTCCCGCTGCGTATTTATTTGTTGATGAAAACATGCTAGCAGACCAACTGAAAGGAATTTGGGGTTCCAGCGAAGACATATACATGCACACCTCCTCGATCACACATCAAACCCCAAAATAGCTTCTGCTATTTCTGATGGATGGTGGGGAGAGAAAGAATTGTCTGGGGCCCCTAGATGTTACATTTTCAGTCCTCTTAAACAACCAGTCCCTGAACCAAAAAACCTTTCTAAATACAGTTTTGCATGAGAAGAGGGATAGCTCAGTTGGTAGAACATGAGATTCTTACTCTCAGGGTTGTGGGGTTCAGGCCAATGTTGGACCAAAGTTTCCTGCATTGCAAGGGGTTGGACTAGACAACCCTTCCAACTCTAGGAAGGGTCAATGGCCCTTGGCCCTACTAGCCCAGCATCCTGTTCTCACAGTGGCTAACCAGATACCTGTGGGAAGCTCACAAGTGGGTCTTGAGCACAATTGCTCTCACCTCTCCTTATGACTGCTCTCCAGTGGTTTCCAGTGACTGCTATTCAGAAGCACTGTGGCCTCTGGACTTTGGAGGCAGAGTATGGCTAGCAAGCCCTGAAAGCCTTCTCCTCCATAAATTTGTCTTATCCTCTTGTAAAGCCATCTAAGTTGGTGCCCATCACTGCCTCTGGTGGGAGTGGAAGTCATAGTTTACTTATTGGTAGTAGTAGTAGTAGTTATTATTATTATTAATTATATACCGCCCGATACCCGGGGGTCTCAGGGCACCTCACAGAATCAAATCAAGATAAAAACCACAAAATACATTAATAACAATAATAACAACCCAATAGCCCCCCCCCCCCAAAAAAAACACATTTTAAAAGGGCATAGGATGTAAATCAGATCAACCAAAGGCCTGGTTAAAAAGGAACATTTTTGCCTGGTGCCTAAAGGTGTATAATGAAGGCGCCAGGCGAACTTCCCTGGGGAGAGCATTCTACTTCCACAGGTAGGTTCCCACGTGCGCTCACAGACATCTTATTTGACTCCAAGGCACTGAAGATAAGAAGTGGTGCCTGGGGTGCTGTGCAAGGGTGTTGTGCTTTGCTTGTTGGTTTTAAAAACCACGCATTGCCTGGTAGTCTACTGTACATCCATTGGCTTTTTGCCTCTTTTACCTCTGACCCCACCCCTCACTGGCATATGCCTCCCCCCCCCCCAACCCGGAAGATTCCCCACCAGGGAAGATGGCCCTTGGTCTGAGAAAGGCTCCTTGTCCCTTTGTTATAGAATTGTGCTGCTATTCGAAGGCAGGTATGAGAAAATCTTGGGCCCTCCAGATGTTACTGAACTACAGCTCCCATCAGCCTCAGCAAGCAAAGCCAATAACCAGGGATGATGGGAGTTGAGTCCCTGTGTGGGGAAAAGGTGGTGTGTGTGTGTGTGTGTGTGTGTGTGTGTGTGTGTAAACAACAACAACAACAGTTCAGCATCATCTGGAAGGCCAGAGCATCCCCACATCTGTTTTAAAACTGGCCTTCGTTCAGTGACAAACACTTGTCTTATACTTTTCGCCTTATGCGCTCGCCCTCTCTCTTTTTCTCATTCTCTTTTTCTCCTTTTCTCTTTCCTGACAGCGCCGGCTTCAGAGTCCCTGAGCTGTGCTCTCAGCTGTCTCTCTCAATCTGAAATTTCAGGAAATGTCTTCACAACATTTCCGTCTAGCCTTTTTGGCCTCCTGCTCTGTCAGTGGCAGGCAGCTGTGCCCCCTTGGACAGCTCAGACCAGCTCACATTTAGCAGCACAGCAAGAAAGGGTGTGTGTGTCTCATTTTGAGTCTCTTGTCCATCCTTTCTTCAATAAAGCAGACACAAAAAAGCACCAGTGCCAATAGTATATAAGTAAAAACAACAACAACCCATATAAGTCTCTGCCCTCAATGCACTTACAATCAACAGCGGGGTTGGGAAAGGCAACAGAAGAAGGATAAAGAAGGTTAATGGAATATGAATAGAAGCGTATGCTATTCCATTACGGAAAACTATTCTGATTATATGGTGTTTTGTGTGTGTTCGGCCACCCTAGCACTGCGCTACAGGCCCTAGAATAGAGGACATTATCTAAGATGTGGACACCAACTATATTTTATTAAGAATTTAAAACATTTAAAACTTGGGTGGAAGGAAAGGAGATCTATAAATGCAGGCGGGGGGGGGGGAGCGTTAAGAAGTGTGAGGGAGGGAGAGTGCCACCTGGTGTGTAATTGTACGAATTGCAAGGTACAGTGTCAAAGCAGAACATACAAGAGTTGAATGGTTCTCTTCCCCACTTCTTGATGCCATTCGGTTTCTGCAATCAGCACTTGTTAAAGCTGAGTCAAAAAAATCATGGTGGCAATGGCTGCTTTAATTTCCCACAATGCATGTCCAGCATTGATTGGAGCACCGACAGCCAGAAAGACAAAAAAAGAGAATCAAAGGCATCTCAGGGCAGGTGGCAGTGAATCTTCTCAAGGTTAAAAAGGTAAAGGTAAAGGACTCCTGGATGGTTAAGTCCAGTCAAAGGCGACTATGGGGTTGCGACGCTCACTTTGCTTCAGGCTGAGGGAGCCGGTGTTTGCCCACAGACAGCTTTCTGGGTCATGTGGCCAGCATGACTAAACCACTTCTGGCGCAATGGAACACTGTGACGGAAGTCAGAACGCACAGAAACACTGTTTACCTTCCTGCCACAGCGGTACCCATTTATCTACTTGCACTGGTGTGCTTTCGAACTGCCAGGTTGGCAGAAGCTGGGACAGAGCAAAGGGAGCTCACCCCGTCGTGGCGATTTGAACCAACGACCTTCTGATCGGCAAGCCCAAGAGGCTCAGTGGTTTAGACCACAGTGCCACCCACATCCCGGGCAACTGCCCGAGGATGCTAGAAGTATACCAAAGCCAGGATCCAAACAGATAAAAATGTCTCCATCAGGAGGATAAAATTTTGCTCACCACACCATTCTTTGTATGGTTCTTACCAGAATCCTCACAGGAAGAAATTTAATCCAGTTGTTGTCCTCCTTGGTCTGTGATGGTCTGGGCTGTCTTGGTTCTAGCTGGGGGCAAAGAGGAGTCCCTCCCGAAAGCATCTCCCCCCCGAATCTAGGAACCAAGATAATGACAACATCTGAGTTTTGCCTGTTTGTTTACAGCATCAATATCCTGCTTTGTATTTTTTGTTGGGAGCCACCCCGAATGGCTGGAGCAACCTTGTCAGATGGGTGGCATAATAATAATAAACATAATAAACATAAACAGAAGAAGAAGAAGAAGAAGAAGAAGAAGAAGAAGAAGAAGAAGAAGAAGAAGAAGAAGAAGAAGAAGAAGAAGAAGTAGTTTATTTCACATGGCTTGTTTCAGCAGGTAACAAGAATAGGTGTTCTGCTGCTTAGAAACAAGACAGTTATAAATAGCTATAACTGTTGTCTGCAAGGAAAAGCAAAACACTCCTTGTAATGGAAATACAGAGAGTGGAGAAAATTACATCATTGGTTTTTGACTCTGCTTTAACAAATATTGGTTCAAATCTGGTACTACTGCGCCCCCCGGTGTTCAAAGGGGGGAACTGTGCACAAGAGGGAGGAAATGCTTTTTTTTAAACTTGATAGTTAGTGCGGATGGTTTTTAACCTTGAATGGACAAGAAAGTTATGCAAGGTGGTATCCTGAAATACGAGCTGAAACCCAGAAAAGAATAGGGTGGGTAATGGGACAGTTTGTATAGGAACCAAGGAAGCTGTGCCATACCAAGTTAGGTAATTGTGCAACATTGACTGGCAGCAGGTGTTCTGGTTTTCAAGTCTTTTACATGCCTCCCTGGAGATGCCAGAGGATAACACAGTCAGGTAATGCAAGGCAGTCTGCTCAAGTGCTGTGAAATCAACTGCTGATGGCCACACATGTGTCAACCAGAGCAACAGGCGTTGAGGGGAAGCCCATCCAATTTGCAGATGGCACCAAACTGGGAGGGATAGCCACAGAAGACAGAATCGGGATTCAAGATGACCTTAACAGACAAAAGTAACAAAATGAATTTCAGTAGGGACAAATGTCAGGTTCTGCACTTAGACAGGAAGAACCAGCTGCAGAAATAGAAGATGGAGGGACACCTGGGTTGCCAGTAGCTCATGTGAAAAGGACCTCGGGGTCTTAGTAGACCACAAGCTTAACACGAGTCAACAGTGTGATGCAGCAACAAAAAAAACCTAACTCTCTTCTAGGCTGCATCAAGAGAAGTAGAATGTCTTGATCAAGAGATGTCATAGTCAAACTTGTTCTTCCTTGGTCAGGACACACCTGGAGTACTGTGTTCAGTTCAGGGTACCACAGTTTAAGCAGGATGTTGACAAGCTATAATTGTGTGCAGAGGAGGGCAACCAAGATGATCAAGTGTCTGGAAACCAAGCCTTATGAGGAATGGTTGAAGGAGCCCGATAGGTTTAGTCTGGAAAAGAGGAGACTGAGAGAAGATAAAGAGCCATCTTTAAATATCTAAAGGGCTGTCACATGGAAGATGGAGCAAGCCTGTCTTCTCCTGCTTTTTTTCTCCAGATGCTAGGACCCAAACCAATGGACACTGGATGTGCACTGAAGCACACAGGTCCTGCCTGCAGACTTACAATTTGAAACATGCTGTGACTTTTAGTTTAGAAGTTTAAAAGAGTGGCTAGGGAACCTGGTAGAGGCTTCTAAAATTGTGTGTAGTGTGGAGATGGATAGGGATTCCCGTCTGATTCTCCTACTACTCAAACGTAAGATCACCCAGTGAGTATTAAGGCAGAGAGGGTCTGTTTTTTTGCACCAGGCATTTCCACTGCTGAATTTCCTTACCACCCTCAATATTTCATCCAATAGACCTGAAGCTAGCAGTTATCATGGGTTTCCTTATCAATTCCTTAAGCACTGCTATATTGCCAGCTGTGATCTGCCACATGCCATCCACAAGATGGCAATATATTGTAAGTTTCCTGCTTATCCAGCTGCTGTGTGCCAACGGGGAACAACGTTGGAGCAACGTGAAATGCCCCTCCTTAATGCTGCTATGGAAAAGCCCTGTCTGGCATTGAACTCTTGAGAGTGAACAAATGTAATGCACAGAGGCAGCCAATGCTGTGTCCTCCAGATGTTGCTGAACTCCAGCATGGCCAGCAACATCTGGAGAACCACAGGTTAGCTATTCCTGGCATAGAACTTGTTGAAGGTGGGAGGGTCCTGTTTTTGTAAGTCTGAGTTTCAGCCACTTTGCGCCATCCAGCAGAGACTGGTCTGCAAACACCTTCATCCCTTTCATCCCTAAAGGCCACTTTAAAATAATAATAA